ACTGTATGTTTTGTATTGTAAAAATATAATTACATATATGAGAGTCCCCACTTGGATATAGAAACAAGTGTGTGTGTGTAATGACATGCAGTTGTCCATGCTGAATCATAACCACTACATGATAAATTCTCTCACCTTTTTGTATTGGAGTTGTGGAAAAGCTGGACGCTGGAGGTCTGGAACTCTGCACCGGCACTTCTCGCTTGACCACAGGTGAGAAAGTTTGTCCTTCCATTGCGGCGTCGGACTGAACCGTGCTCCTGTGTCTCCCTCCGTCCTCCTCTAGGGCTCTTTGGGATATGACAGAACGCTCTTCCCGTTTAGCGGGCATGGTTTCTGCTGAGCATGGGAGAAAGCGAGTAAATGATACTGCGTGATTCATCTTATGCCTCATTTCCTCTTGCTGATATTAAATGTTATTGAAATGCGGGACACTTACCAGATATCTGCTGCTCTCTGCCGGTGACCTGAACGCTTTCTGAAATGCAAGGCAATTATCCCAGGATGGAAAGAAAAACTATCAGATCCTTTGAATCGTGAGTTATGAAAACATTACAATAAATTACCCAAGCCTAAGGCAAAATGCATGAAAACTGCACAGTATTCAGAATTTTTAATGTGTAATTTGCAAATCAGTTCTAAACTGGAAAGTGGGCATGGGATGATAAGAGGTTTCAAGGTTTACAGTGGTTTGGAAAACTTTTCTAAAGTTTTCCTGTTATACTGTTCCCATTATACATGTATGTTTCTTGGGGGGTGGGTGGGGGCTAATTTAGATGTTGGACTGAAGAACTAATATTAGTTCATTTAAAATGATGAAGGGCAGAGGGTTGCTGAAGAACTACTGAGAGATTTCAGCTGCTGTCTGGGCTTTCACTGCCTTTCTACACCTTCCTTTCTTCGTGTGTTCAATACTTTTTGGGGGCTAATTTAGATGTTGGACTGAAGAACTAATATTAGTTCATTTAAAATGATGAAGGGCAGAGGGTTGCTGAAGAACAACTGAGAGATTTCAGCTGCTGTCCGGGCTTTCACTGCCTTTCTACACCTTCCTTTCTTCGTGTGTTCAATACTTTTTGGGGGCTAATTTAGATGTTGGACTAAAGAACTAATAATAGTTCATTTAAAATGACGAAGGGCAGAGGGTTGCTGAAGAACTACTGAGAGATTTCAGCTGCTGTCTGGGCTTTCACTGCCTTTCTACACCTTCCTTTCATCGTGTGTTCAATACTTTTTGGGGGCTAATTTAGATGTTGGACTGAAGAACTAATAATAGTTCATTTAAAATGACGAAGGGCAGAGGGTTGCTGAAGAACTACTGAGAGATTTTAGCTGCTGTCTGGGCTTTCACTGCCTTTCTACACCTTCCTTTCTTCGTGTGTTCAATACTTTTTGGGGGCTAATTTAGATGTTGGACTAAAGAACTAATAATAGTTCATTTAAAATGACGAAGGACAGAGGGTTGCTGAAGAACTACTGAGAGATTTTAGCTGCTGTCTGGGCTTTCACTGCCTTTCTACACCTTCCTTTCTTCGTGTGTTCAATACTTTTTGGGGGCTAATTTAGATGTTGGACTAAAGAACTAATAATAGTTCATTTAAAATGACGAAGGACAGAGGGTTGCTGAAGAACTACTGAGAGATTTCAGCTGCTGTCTGGGCTTTCACTGCCTTTCTACACCTTCCTTTCATCGTGTGTTCAATACTTTTTGGGGGCTAATTTAGATGTTGGACTGAAGAACTAATAATAGTTCATTTAAAATGACGAAGGACAGAGGGTTGCTGAAGAACTACTGAGAGATTTCAGCTGCTGTCTGGGCTTTCACTGCCTTTCTACACCTTCCTTTCTTCATGTGTTCAATACTTTTTCCCTGCATCATTTCATTTTATCACACATGACTTCATTTGTTAACTAATTAGATTTGTTTTCTTTGCATATATGGATTTCTTTGGTTGTTATCAACATCCGGTGAAAAATTCAAGTCAACAGCACCTTTAAAAATATGTTTTCTGGAAGAAATGGTGACGTGTTGAACACTTATTTCCCCCTCTGTATAAATTGTGTTCAAAGGGGGGGGGGGGGGGGGGGAGTTGTTTTTTACCCAGAAATTTTAAAAAGTATATATTTTAGAGCAGTGATCACAATACCGTGATCCCCAGGAACTGAAATGTTTATCCAAGGTTATGATACCATCAGAATCATACAGGCCCATGCCTACTGGACGGATTACCTGCATTTTTTGTCTGTGAAGTTATTGGAGATTGTTGATTGGCTGATGGATTGGTGGATGTTCTGGACGTACTGAGTTCTCTCTGATTAGAGATGGCCAAAGGAGCGGGTAAAACCTGCTGCGGTGAACCTTTGAAAAACCAGGCACCAGACTGCTTCAGCATCTTTGGGAAAAAACAAAAACAGTGGTTTTTAGCATGCTGATGTATTCTAATTCGCCTCTAATAACAGGCGTATTTGTGCAAACTCTTGAACTCCTGCTCATGCTTTGACTGAATTGTAAGAGACTGCTAAACTTAATTGTGGCATAAAACAGAATACAGCCAAAGGGGGAAATGTAAATTTCATTAAAACAGTAGCCTTTTTCTCTTTTAGATTGGCTACTGTTCTACTCTTCAAGCAACTAGTAATTTGAAATGCTGTAAATTTACAAAAAGGCAAACAGACTTTGTAAACCCATCTGAATAATGAAAACGTAATAATAATAATAATAATTAATAATGTTATCCAGCAAACTCTAATAATAACAAAATCTCAAAATCTGTTTTATCCAAAGCTCAATCTTTTACCCTGTTTGTTGATAACTCCCCAGTCAATTTCTCAACCCGCGTGAAAAGTCTTGGGGTTATACTGGATGGCATGCTCTCATTTAGTTCTCAAATTAGCAATATCTCACGTTCTGCCTTTTTTCATTTGCGTAACATTGCAAGACTTCGCCCTTCACTATCGTAACAAAGTACTGAAGTGCTTGTTCATGCTTTGGTTACATCACGGATTGATTACTGTAACTCGCTTCTTTCTGGTATTCCTGATAGACTACAGTTGATTCAGAATTCAGCGCTAGGATAGTTACCTGCTCGCGTACTTCTGATCACATAACTCCAATTCTCTTTCACCTGCACTGGCTTCCTGTTCACTATCGTATACAATACAAAATCCTCCTCTTAACATACAAAGCTCTTCATAACCTGGCCCCTCACTAACTTTCTGATCTTCTTCAATTGTACACTCCTTCACGCTCACTGAGATCATCTTCTGCTGAACTGTTATCTGTCCCACACTTTAAGATGAAGTCATTTGGAGGCAGGGCTTTTAGTTGTACAGCACCAAAGTTATGGAATTCCCTGCCTTTGCACATTCGCCAGATGGACTCTATTTCCAATTTTAAATCTCAGATAAAGACGTTTTTGTTTAGGATAGCTTTTAATGATTTGCTGGTTTAATTTTATGCTGATTGTCATTTTTACTGCTTGTATTTTTATGATGTACTTGTAATCTGCTGTAAGGTGTCCTTGAGTGCTTTGAAAGGCGCCTAAAAATAAAAGGTATTATTATTATTATTATTATTATTATTATTATTATTAACAAGTCTTTGAGAATGGGTTTCTCAAGCCAGGGACTCGTCTCCTGTTTCCAAAATGCATCACCAACTGCTTGGGAAACTGATCTACTATATTAGTGGCATTACTGAAGTAAACACCGCAATCAAACTGTTACCGTCATGAAGGACTTTTCGTCATGTTTTCCGACAAGATCCACACACACGCGGCTGTCAGTAAAGGACCGCACACAAACACACATCACAAAATGCGGAAGTTTTTTTTCTTTCCATTTGGCGTGCGTTATTAAATTCCATAACACTCTCACCAGTCCTTACTCCTTATTTGCGTCTAATACCCCAGTTTGTCACGGGGGCATGAATGAAATGTTCATGAGTTAAAGTGAAACTGCCGAACTGCAGTTAAAGCTGCAGTCAGGCATCCTGCTAATTTGATTCAGAAGGGCACTCTTTTGTAAGATGGCTCACCGGTCAGGTATACATCCACGCTAAAATATTTAGGTGAAAGTCACCATATTTTAAAGAGGCGTACCATATTTTATTCTTGCGTAGAATAGACCCAGCTCCCAAACCAACTTTGAGAATAGATTAACGGCGATTTTTTTTTTATCGCACGATAAGAGTCTCGTGTTAACTCTGCACATATATATATATCGTCGATCGGTTAGTCAGTCAGTCAGTCGACAGCGGCCTCTAGTGGATTTACTCGAGAAGAGCAGATACGAATGGCACTCTCAAAACAAATTTGAGATCTCAAAAGCATACACGGCGGCCACTGGTGGATTCGCGAAAACAAAAACGACAATAAGCGTAACTCCTGCCACACATTTCATGATCTCCAGAAATGTATATAGGGGTACGTTTTCACAATGAGCTTGGGTTGCCCAAATATATTTATGTTCGGTAACACTTTACAATAAGGTTGTATTAGTTAATGTTACTTAATGCGTTTACTAACATAAACAATGAACTATACAATAATAACAGTGTTTATTCATATTAGTTAACGTTAGTAAAGAAAGAAAATTCACAGTGCATTAACTCATGTAAACAAGCATGAATTTGTATTTTAATAATGCATTAGTAAATGTTAAACTATGATTAATAAATGCTGTACAAGTATTGTTCATATTGACTTCATCCTAAATGTGATCTTGATGTTACTGTAAACTGTATGGTGAATTTCTGTAATTGCTTCATGTCTAAACATCTTTCATTTCCGAAGATTTAGGTCCCTATCATACACCCGGCGCAGTGTGGTGCAAGACACGGCGCAATAGTCTTTTGGTAGTTTCAGCTTGGCGCAAGAGTGGTTTTGAGGCGTTGCGCTACGCTGTTTAAATAGCAAATGCATTAGCGCTCATATGTGCGCCCATAGGCGTTCTGGTCTAAAAAGGAAGGTGTTCTGAGGCGGACCGCTGGCGCGCTGCTATTTTGAGAAACTATAATAGATTTTTCATTAGACCAAAACAAACCCGGTCTAAACTCCGGCGCAGAGTTACGCCTCGCTTACACACTGCTTAATACACACAAGAGAGCAATAGGCAAATATCTTTACATATGAAAACATGTAAATATTAAGGATATATATAGGATATAATAAGAATAGATATAGAATATAAATATAAAGGATTAAAATATTACAAAACATATTATTTACTAGCCTACATAAATATGAAAAATCACTGCTTTTATGTCTTCTTCATCTCGGGAGGCTTTTTCAGTTCATTCCTAACAATTTGCTTTTGTATAATGTTATTATTATTAGCAGTATTATTATTATATCCATATTTATATTTGTTTTATTAAAACAAGCTTAGATCTGCCCACCTGTCAGGTTTTAGACCATATGGGGCACAGCATGTGTTTTAGGATATAACTTTTGAGCACATTTTGTTATTATTGTTCATTTATTCATTTGCTGGAAATTAGAACTGAATTTAGAAATAGTTTTGAAATGAATATTTGCGCTTAACAAACAAAATTATTTATTTATAGACTAGTTGATGTCTGTGCGAAAAGGTTTCCCTATCCAAGAGCGAAAGTGAAAGTAGATCATTTATCTCTTATTCTCACGCAGAAGATGCTCTGTTTAACAGTTCTCTGTTAAAAAAACTGTTAACTGTGAACTGTTTGCTTGTGAAATGCTCATTTTTTCCACTTAGACTTACTTTGTGTCCTGTAAATAGTGAATGCGCTCTTGGCGTGACGCAGCTGGCTCTTAAAGGGAATGGGAGATGAGGCTCTAATTGGTTTATTCTCAAAACACACCTATAACTCATTAAGAAAATAAACTCAACCCTTTTAGACCATGCGCCGAAGCGCAAGGCACATTTCCCGTCCTTAAATTAGCAAAAACGCGTCCTGACACGCCCTGAAAGCGTTTGCGCCCTGCGTTTTGCGCTCTGCGCATGGACCGTAAAAAAAGAGCCCTAATATTCAGAAATGCTTGTGCTTTCAAAATAGAGCCAACATTCCCAATTCCTAAAGAAACGTCCTATAAATAACATTTGGGATATAAATAGATAGCAGCTCTGATTTTCAAATACACGTCGACTGTGATAAGGTGATTCATCTCTTTGAGGATGGAAGTCACGGTTAGTCTAGTTGTCAGACGGGGTCAGTAGCAGCAGGAGATGTGACTCTCTTTAATGCAACAAGATCATGAAGCCCGAATCCCATTTACATTTAATCCCCTCAGTTGCTGACGTTTTATTTCATAATAACGGGGCATGTCTGAATTCCTGTTTTGAAAAAAAATTTATTTCTGCCATTCCAGCTCCAGACTGATGCTTATTTAAATGGTAATTTGCTTAAATGGGATTCACTGCACTGTAAAACACATACACTCACCCGCCACTTTTTTTTAGGTACACCTGTCCAACTGCTTGTTAACGCAAATTTCTAATCAGCCAATCACATGGCAGCATCTCAAAGCATTTAGGCTTGGTGAAGACGATCTGCTGCAGTTCAAACCGAGCATCAGAATGGGGAAGAAAGGGGATTTAGGTGACTTTGAACGTGGCATGGTTGTTGGTGCCAGACTGAGTATTTCAGAAACTGCTGATCTACTGGGATTTTCACGCAAAACCATCTCTAGGGTTTACAGAAAATGATCTGAAAAAGAGAAATTTCCAGTGAGCGGCAGTTCTGTGGGTGCAAATGCCTTGTTGATGCCAGAGGTCAGAGGAGAATGGCCAGACTGATAGAAAGGCAACGGTAACTCAAATAAGCACTCGTTACAACCGAGGTCTACAGAAGAGCATCTCTGAACACACAACACGTCCAACCTTGTGGCGGATGGGCTACAGCAGCAGAAGACCACACCGGGTGCCGCTCCTGTCAGCTAAGAACAGGAAACTGAGGCTACAATTCACACAGACTCACCAAAACTATAGAAGATTTGAGAAACGTTGCCTGCTCTGATGAGTCTCAATTTCTGTTTCCACATTCGGACGTTTAGAGTCAGAATTTGCCGTAAACAACATGAAAGCATGGATCCATCCACCCTTGTATCAACGGTTCAGGCTGGTGGTGGTGTAATGGTGTGGGGGATATTTTTTTGCCACACTTTTTTTGTTCTATTAGTACCAGCTGAGCATGGTGTCAATGCCACAGCCTACCTGAGTACTGTTGCTGACCATGTCCATCCCTTTATGAGCACAGTGTCTCTATCTTCTGATGGCAACTTTCAGCAGGATAACACACCATATCATAAAGCGTGAATCATCTCAGACTGGTTTCTTGAACATGACAATGAGTTCACTGTACTCAAATGGCCTCCAAAGCCACCAGATCTCAATCCATTAGAGCACCTTTGGGATGTGGTGGAACGGGAGATTGGCATCATGGATGTGCAGCTGATAAATCTGCAACAACTGCGTGATGCTGTCATGTCAATATGGAGCAAAATCTCTGAGGAATATTTCCAGTACCTTTTAGAATCTATGCCTCCAAGGATTAAGGCAGTTCTGAAGGGAAAAGGGGGCCAACCCAGTACTAATAAGGTGTACCTAATAAAGTGGCCAGTGAGTGTAGAGCTTTAGCTGTATTATGTATGTGTATCTTGGAGTCACATTTATATGTTTCTTAAAGGGATAGTTCACACAAAATGGAAAATTGCCTCAAAGCAAAAAGGTCACTGGCTCAAGCCTTGGCTGGGTCAGTTGGCATTTCTGTGCGGAGTTTGCATGTTCTCCCCATGTTGGTGTGGGTTTCCCCCGGGTGCTCCGGTTTCCCCCACAGTCCAAAGACATGCGCTATAGGTCAATTTGGTAAGCTAAATTGGCCGTGTGTGTGAAAGGGAGTTTATGGGTGTTTCCCAGTGATGGGTTGCAGCTGGAAAGGGCATCTGCTGCGTAGAACATGTGCTGGATAAGTTGGCGGTTCATTCCACTGTGGCGACCCCAGATTAATAAAAGGACTAAGCTGAAGGAAAATGAATGAACTGTAATGAACTATCCCTTTAAAACAGCTTAACTAGGTTAATTAGGCAGGTTAGGGTAATTAGGCAAGTCATTGTATAACGATGGTTTGTTCTGTAGACAATTGAAAACTAATTCTTAGGGGGCTAATAATATTGACTCTAAAAAGGTTTTAAAAACTGCTGTTAACCAGGCCAAAATAAAAGAAATAAGACTTTCTTCAGAAGAAAAAATATGATAGGAAACACTGTGAAATTTGCCTTATTTCATAAAATATCTGTAGAGAAATATTTGAAAAGAATAAATATCTCACAGGAGGGTGAATCCTTTTGCCCTCAGCTGTATATACAGTAATTCAACAGTAGCACAAACAAAAGCATTGCTTCAGTGTCAGCGTGGCCTCAAATGTGACTCGGTGCATCTCACCTCTTTGTGTTCACAGCAGATTTTGCACAACCAAATTGGACCAGAACGACAGACGCTTTGAACGCCACACTTAGTGCACATGTTCTGTGGGGGCAAAACACAAAAACATCCCTCAGGAGGTAAAGCTGCGCAGGTGTAAACACACTCAGATGGCATTAACTCTCTGGAGTGCCATCACTACTGAAACACACACACAGGCCACACACTGAACATCCCCTCTGAGATCAATAAACAATCTATTGATCTTTATGTCATGTGTCACAAAAGACAGACCATGTGTCATTATTTTAAATCATATAACCTGATTGGCATCCCCTCTTAAAAGTGCGCACGGCTCCAAAATGAGAAGGGTGCAATAAAGATAAGTGCATAACGCTCACTCATTTCTGCCTGGTTATTTTTGGACAATCGTTATTGTAGGACATGCATTAGGTAAATTGCTGAAGGGCTCAATGATAATGTAGAGTTGAAGTCAATTTTAGTAGCCCTCTTGTAAAATTTGAATTATTTGTCAAGTTTTTTTAACACATTTATAATGACTCATTTTTAATAACTCTATGTATAACAATAACTATATTCTTTAGTCTTTGACATGCTGGCATAATATTGTTTTGGTTATTTTGCAAGACACTAGTATTCAGCCACTTAAATTAACTAGGTTAATTAGGCAAGTCAATGGACTGCATTGGTAGTGCATTGGGGGGTGGGGGGGGGGGCAATTTCTTAAAGAGGATAATAATAATATTGACCTTAAAAATGTTATTCATCTTAAATAAATGAAATATGGCTTTCTCAGGAATAATATATATATATATAGTTGAAGTCAGAATTATTAGCCCCCCTGTTTATTTTTTCCCCCAATTTCTGTTTAACGGAGAGCAGATTTTTTTCAGCACATTTGTAAACTTAATAGTTTTAATAATAATATCTAATAACTGACTTATTTTATCTTTGCCATGATGACAGTAAATAATATTTGACTAGATATTTATCAAGACACTTCTATACAGCATAAAGTGACATTTAAAGGCTTAACTAGGTTAATTAGGTTAACTAGGCAGGTTAGGGTAATTAGGCAAGTTAACGATGGTTTGTTCTGTAGACTATCGAAAAAACTATAGCTTAAAGAGGCTAATAATATTGCCCTTAAAATGGTGTTTAAATAATTAAAAATTGCTTTTCTTCTAGCCAAAATAAAACAAATAAGACTTTCCCAGGAAGAAAAAATATTATCAGACATGCTGTAAAAAATTTCCTTGCTCTGTTAAACTTCATTTGGGAAATATTAACAAAAATTTTAATTCAAAGGGGGGGGCTAATATTCTGACCTCAACTATATATTATAGGAAATACTGGGACAACTGGGAGTTCTTAAACAGCATTTCGGAAATATTTGTAAAAGGAGGGCTAATAATTTTGCCTTCAATCTGAAGTCTGCATGATGTTTCAACAAAACGAATTACAGTAGAAAAATGTGAACACATTCACAGAGCAACCGGAGTTTTACTGTAATTTAAAACAGTAATTTGTTGAATTACTGAATTAGCATTGCTGCTAAAAACACCACTGAAAACATTGGCTGCATCCGAAACCGCATACTTCCATACTATACAGTATGCTAAAATCAGTATGCGAGCCGGGTAGTATGTCCGAATTCATAAGCTGCATGCCAAATTGCATACTTATGCAATATTCTACGCCATTTTGTAGCATAAATAGTGTAAATTCACATTGAAAACTCTAAAAATTAGTAAGTGCGCTCTTAAATACCCGGATGATGCACTCATTCAGCCCGTAAAATGAAGTGTGTGATGATGGACACTTCACGCACTCAACGACCGCAGGTTTGCTCATGTAGCGAAAGGGGCGGAGCTATCAGGCGCACATGTTGGATAACTTTTTTTTATTTTGGACTGATACAGCAAAATTCTCCTATGAGAGTGATTACAGCGCCTCCCTATGGTGAATGCGGTTATACTCACGGCAGGTATTATTTGATAATTCAGTCATTTATTTCACTGATTTGGCAACCGTCAAACGTCATCAGGGAAACGGTTTGAATTTCAACTTAGTAAAAAAGCATTAGTGTGCCATTTGGGACGCCACTACATACATATACGATCCTGTTGAGTGTGTAAGTGCATAAGTACATAGAGTATAGTGTATAGAGTGCCATTTGGGACGCAGCTACTGAATTCGAAAATCAGTATGCGAGAAGTACCCGGATGACTTACTACTTCCGGCGAGATTCTGGAGTGCGCATTCCATGCACGCTGCGCTATTCAATAACGCCCTGCGAGAGAATTCATGAATGGAAGTGAAGTGACGCAACTGACACAGATAGGTCACGTGACCATGACAAAATGACGGATGTAGTACGTCCGAATTCCATTTATACTTTTCACATTCATACTGTATAGAACGTACTTTTCTAACGGCCGAGCAGTACGTTTAAACTCAAACGCAGTACCGACTGAGTAGTAGGCGGTTTTGGATGCAGTCATAGACTTTTTGAAGTCAACGGCTACAGCAGTTCATAATATTCTTAATATACAACAGCAACATACACCAAATATTTCTTATGTAGGTTTTTGAACAAGTAAGGGTGAGCAAAAAAATGATGTTTTCTATTTCCATTTAATCAATAGGGTACCTTTTTACACTCTGCACACACGACAGCGCTGACACCGGTGAGGCCGAACTGCTGTCCGCAGAGTAAACAGCGGGAGTAACCATCACCGCAGGCCGAACGCTTCATGCTGTCCAGGCGATTTGCCAGACGCCTGAGGAACCAAGATATAACGTCAGCATACTCTCCTCCAAATGGTTAAATCCTGCTACAAACGCATTGATGAGCTGTAAGAGAGCGCTTTTGCAGGCAAAGTGCTGAGTGAGAGAGAGAGAGAGAGTGGGGGAGAGTAAAGGCAGTGTAATTCTTGTCTAGTTAGCACTATTAATTTCTTCCAGTACATTCCTCGGCTGACTCTCGGCTTGTACAAAAAACTTAAACACGCTCTTCTTCTCAATCACTTGGACAGATGTGTTTGGCCTGAGTTGCTCTGCAGAATGAGAGGAAACTGTGAAGCAATGTCCCCCTGTCGCTGGGACTCAGGTGTTGGTCAGTATTGCTTTTCTACAGAAACTATCGAGTCCAGTCTTGGGTGAGCTAATGGGAGCTTGAGGAAAAATAGTTGGCTTGAAAATTGGTTTGGTCAAGCAATGGAAGGCTGAATGTTTTCTTTTGTTGTTTTTTATGGAAGATTCCTCTTTAAGCAGCGTCAAATAAATATACAAAATTTGTAAAAATTCATATTTTTATTATGTATATATAAAAAAAAAGGTTAATTTTAAAAGAATTTACAAAAATGTTGTCGTTTATTTGGGATGTTTCCTAGATAATAAATTATTAGGGGATGTTACGGCAAAAAAGGTTTTTACAAAGAGATGTGGACAAATGTGGTTCTTAGCAAGGCAAGCTGATCTGTCGGATGTTCATGCTTTAAAATTATTGGCAGGAGCTTTGATTCAACCTCATATTGATTATCTTACGCCCTTTTGGTGTAGTAGCTGCTCACAGAGTATGAAGGAAAAATTGCAAAAGGCACAAAATAAATTTGTATGAATTATTTTAAGAATTTATCCTAGAGCACATTTGCACAAAGAGTTTTATTTAGAGAGTTAGGTTTGTTGACGCCCCATTCACACGAGGCTTCAGCGTCAACGCTTGACTGAAGGCGTGTCTGAAGTTGGGGCTGTAGGGATCGTCATAGAAGTGTCAGCCAATGAAATTCAGTCAGCAATAGGCCACTGTCTAGCTGGTGTATTTGCATGCAGCGATCTGATTGGCTGACGCTTACGTCAACGCTTGAAAAGTTGAGCTAGTCCCAACTTCTGCAGCGAGCAACTCCTCTGAAGCGGCGCCGACGGATCCACAATGCAGTTCGGCAACGCCTTACGTCACCCATTTAAAGTTATTGGAAAGCGTTGACGCTGACACCCCGTGTGAATGGGCTAACCTTAAAGTGAAGAAGAAGCAAGCTTTAAATAGAAAAATTATCAAAACTCTTTAATTGTTTGAACGAGATGCTAATGGTCTAATCCGATCCAATGATCTATGCTAAGCTAAGCTAAAAGTGTTCCCGCTGGACTCGGAGATCGTCTGAATGAATTAAAACAATCATAATAATATTGATCCTAGCCTTATCGACCTAGAATCAAGTTTTAAATATGATAATTATTAAAACTCTGGCTTGAATTTTTGAAGCAAGATGATAATGATCTAATCTAATTCAATGATTTATGCTAAGCTAAGCTAATAGTGTTCCCACTAGACCCGGAGATCAACTGAATGAATTCAAAAAAATAATAAGACTATAGTTCCTAGCCTTATTGACCTAGAACCAAGCTTTAAATATGAAAATTAACAAAACTCACTTAATTTTTTTAACAAGATGCTAACGGTCTAATCTGATTCAATGATCTATGCTAAGCTAAGCTAAAAGTGCTTTCGCCAGACCCAGAGATTGACTGAATGAATTAAACAATAATACAAGTATAGATCCTAGCCTTTTTGACCTACAATCAAGCTTCAAATATGAAAACTAACAAAAGTCTTTTTTGAATTTTTTGAGCAAGATGCTAACGGTCTAATCTGATTCAATGATTTATGCTAAGCTTAGCTAAAAGTGCTTCCGCTAGATCCAGAGATGGACTGAATTAACTAAAACATCATAAGAGAACAGCTCCTAGCCTTATCGACCTACAATCAAGCTTTAAATAAAAAAAATATCAAAACTCTTTTTGGATATTTTTTGAACGAGATGCTAATGGTCTTATCCTATTTAATGACCTATGCTAAGCTATGCTAAAACTGTTCAAATTAGACCCAGAGATCAACTAAAAGAATTTAAAAATGATAAGAGTATAGTTCCTAGGCTTATCAATCTAGAATTAAGCTTCAAATAGGAAAATGATCAAAACTCTGTCTTGAATTTCTTTAAGCAAGATGTTAATGGTCTAATTCGGTTCAATTATCTATGCTAAGCTAAGCTAAAAGTGATCCCGCTAGACCTGGAGATTAGACTGAATTAATTAAAAAATGATAAGAGCATAGTTCTTAGCTCTATTGACCTAGAATCAAGCTTTAAACAGAAATATTATCAAAACTCTCAGATTTTTTTGAGAGAGATGCTAATGGTCTAATCTGATTCAATGATCTATGCTAAGCTCAGCTAAAAGTGTCCCCGTTAGACCCAGAGATTGACTGAATAAATTAAAAAATGATAAGAGCATAGTTCCTAGCGTTATCAACCTAAAATCAAGCTTTAAATGTGAAGATAATCAAGTCTTGAATTTCTTGAACGAGATGCTAATGGTCTTTTCTGATTCAATGATTTATGCTAAACTAAGCTAAAATGCAAAGATCGATTCAAATATTTTAAAACCTAGTATAGAGTATAGTTTCTAGCCTTATCGACCAAGAATCGAGCGTTAAATATAAAAATGATCAAAACTCCTTCTTGAATTTTTTGAGCAAGATGCTAACGGTCTAATCAATTCAATAATTTATGCTAACCTTAGCTAAGCTAAGCAAAAATGCTTCCACTAGACCTGAAGATCGACTGAATGAACTAAAAAATGATAAGAGTTTAGTTCCTAGGTTTATCCAACTAGAATCAAGCTTTAAAAAGGAAAATGATAAAAACTCTGTATTGATTTTTTTTCAGCGAGATGCTAATGGTCTAATCTAATTCAATTATCTATGCTAAGCTAAGCTAAAAGTGTTCCCACTAGACCTGGAGATTGACTGAATGAATTAAAAAATTATAAGAACAGTTCCTAGCCATATCAACCTAAAATCAAGCTTTAAATATGAAAGTTATCAAAAGTCTGGATTTTTGGAGCGAGATGCTAATGGTCTAATCCGATTCAATGATTTATGCTAAGCTAAAAGCGCTGTTGTTAGATGCAGAGATCCACTGAAATAATTAAAAACATATGAGAGTATAGTTTATTAAATATGAAAATTATCAAAACTTCTTCTTGAATTTTTTGAGCAAGATGCTAACGGTCTAATCCGATTCAATGATTTATGCTAAGCAAAGCTAAGCTAAAAATGCTTCAGTTAGACCCGGAGATCGACTGAATGAACTAAAAACTAATAAGAGTGTAGTTCCTAGCCTTATCGACCTAGAATCAAGCTTTAAATAGGAAAATGATCAAAACTCTTGAAATTTTTGAACGAGATGCTAATGGTCTAATCTGATTCAATGATCTATGCTAAGCTAATATCTATGCTGCATGAACAAGAAAAAAATGTATGGTGCAGTACTCGATTCAGGATGGTTGGATTGTTTCTACTGGTGGATTTCATGTGAGAGATAAGTTCACCCCATGTTTTCTTTATGAGAAATACTTAATGGGAATTTTTGATGGTGACTGTTTACGAAATCTCACCCAATCCTCTCCTGCTCCATGGCCTCCATGGTCTTGGCTCTCTCCAGCACGCTGTTGATGATTTGCTTCTCCTCGTCCGTCAGCTCCCCGGTCTCCATCTGCCTGCCGTACATCTCGCAGCCTGTCCTAAAGCACACACAAGCAGTCAATTATGCAGCCAAACATATCCGAACGCTTAAATATATGAGCAAAAATCTCCCGCCGGCCCCATCTGTCCGCATTATCACCCAATCACAATCAACCACAGAAGCAGGGGAGGGGAGGATTTTAAGAAGAGCACCTCGCACACTCATCGGTCAGGAAATAATTTGTAGGTAGAGCAATTACGACAGCTGTTTTTGTGCAAGAAAAGGAATTTGCTCTGTGCCTTTTGACATTACGGCATGTCATATCATTAATGAGTCAATGCGCTGCTCTTTCCGGCGTGTTGGGCAAATTCTATTTGGTCCCCACAGAGACGCTCCAACCGCTGATTGAAAATGTCGAGGTGATGGAGGACATGACTGATTGCCATCTGGGGCTGAAAAGAAGAGGAGGACGACATAGCGAGTGAGTAAAGGGGAAATAGAGGGAGAGCGATGATCAGAAATTACATCACACTCTCAACCAGCCGCTGTCACCATTCATCCCATCAGCCGATTCTATGGACGGAGCGTCTATCACATACAAGCACAGGAGTGTTACTGCTGTCTCGGAGGGCCTGCTGGATCTTCAAAGGAGCCATCGTCAAAAAAATCAAATGTATTTGCATTAGCTGCACTGAAAACCCTGCTGAGATTCATGCAAAAATGCTGACGGCGGCAAAATGTCAGCCTGGCACTTAAATGGAAATGCCTGCAACTGAGCTAAATACAAATAACATCCGATGCTGATGTAGATGCACATTTATAAAACAATAAAAAAAGGAAAGGGAAGGCACCGGGAGATGTTTTGCTCGACAGTATTATTTTTTTAAGTGGATTATGCACACTGCAAATATCTGAATGGTTAAAACAAGAACTTTTTATATCAACGGACAAAATAGCTTATGATATTAGGAGGTCTTGTTTTATAAGAAATTCAAAATGTATTCGAAAAATGTTATTAAACATCACCCCTTTTCTGTAAATGGGCTTTTTTTTTATTCACCTACAGTTCAACAGTTGAGTTTTACCATTTTTGAATCTATTCGGGTCTAATAGGAGCACTTTTAGCTTAGCTTAGCATAAGTCATTAAATTGGATTAGACCATTAGCATCTCGCTTAAAAAATTCAAAAAAAAAAAAAAAAAAAAAGGAAAATTTGCTCATTTTTAGGTCAATGTTTCTAGGAACTATACTCTCATTCTGACATAACAATTAAGGGACTTGTCAGCCTCACACTTAAACAGAAATGCCTGCAACCGAGCCATACACAAATAAGACATAAAGCTGATGTAGATTCACATTTTAAAACCATGAAAAAAGGAAAGGGAAGGCACCGGGAGATGTTTTGCTTGACAGCATTATTTATAAGTGGATTATGCACACTGCAAATATCTGAATGGTTAAAACAAGAACTTTTTTATATCAACAGACAAAATAGCTTATGATATTAGGTCTTGTTTTATAAGAAATTCAAAATGTATGCTCTAAAAATGTTATTAAACATCACCCCTTTTCTGTAAATGGGCATTTTTTATTCACCTACAGTTCAACAGTTGATTTTTACCATTTTTGAATCTATTCGGGTCTAATAGGAGCACTTTTAGCTTAGCTTAGCATAAGTCATTAAATTGAATTAGACCATTAGCATCTCGCTTAAAAAATTCTAAAAAAAAAAAGGAAAATTTGCACATTTTTAGGCCAATGTTTCTAGGAATTATACTCTCATTCTGGCATAACAATTAAGGGACTTGTCAGCCTCACACTTAAACAGAAACGCCTGCAACCGAGCTATACACAAAAAAGACATAACGCTGATGTAGATTCACATTTTGAAACAATGAAAAAAGGAAAGGGAAGGCACCGGGAGATGTTTTGCTTGACAGCATTATTTATAAGTGTATTATGCACACTGCAAATATCTGAATGGTTAAAACAAGAACTTTTATATCAACAGACAAAATAGCTTATGATATTAGGAGGTCTTGTTTTATAAGGAATTCAAAATGTATGCTCTAAAAATGTTATTAAACATCACCCCTTTTCTGTAAATGGGCATTTTTTAATTCACCTACAGTTCAAAAGTTGAGTTTTACCATTTTTGAATCTATTCGGGTCTAATAGGAGCACTTTTAGCTTAGCTTAGCATAAGTCATTAAATTGGATTAGACCATTAGCATCTCGCTTAAAAATTTCTAAAAATAAAAAATAAATTGGAAAATTTGCACATTTTTAGGTCAATGTTTCTAGGAACTATACTCTCATTCTGACATAACAATTAAGGGTATTGTCAGCCTCACACTTAAACAGAAATGCCTGCAACCGAGCCATACACAAAAAAGACATAACGCTGATGTAGATTCACATTTATGTATCAATGAAAAAAGGAAAGGGAAGGCACTGGGAGATGTTTTGCTTAACAGCATTTTTTATAAGTGTATTATGCACACTGCAAATATCTGAATGGTTAAAACAAGAACTTTTTATATCAACAGACAAAATAGCTTATGATATTAGGTCTTGTTTTATAAAAAATTCGAAATGTATACTCTAAAAATGTTATTAAACATCATGACTTTTCTGTAACTGGGCATTTTTTAAGTCACCTACAGTTCAACAGTTGAGTTTTACCATTTTTGAATCTATTCGGGTCTAATAGGAGCACTTTTAGCTTAGCTTAGCATAAGTCATTAAATTGGATTAGACCATTAGCATCTCTCTTAAAAATTTCTAAAAATAAATAAAAAATAAAATAATTAGGAAAATTAGCAAATTTTTAGGTCAATGTATCTAGGAACTATACTCTCATTCTGGCATAACAATTAAGTGACTTGTCAGCCTCACACTTAAACAGAAACGCCTGCAACCGAGCCATACACAAAATAGACATAACGCTGATGTAGATTCACATTTTGAAACAATGAAAAAAGGAAAGGGAAGGCACCGAGAGATGTTTTGCTTGACAGCATTATTTTATAAGTGTATTATGCACACTGCAAATATCTGAATGGTTAAAACAAGAACTTTGTATATAAAGAGACAAAATTGCTTAAAATATTAAGTTTTTTATAAGCAATTCAACTATCATGCTTTAAAAACGTTATTAAACATTACCACTTTTTGCAAATGGCCATTTTTTAAGTCACCTACAGTTAAACTGTTGAGTTATACCATTTTTGAATCTATTCAGGTCTAACGTGAGCAACGTTAGCTTAGCTTAGCATAAATCATTTATTTGGATTAGACCATTAGCATGTTCCTCAAATATTTCTAAAAAGGTAAAAAAAAAAAATATATATATATATATATAGGAAAATTTGCTCATTTCTAGGTCAATATAGCTAGGAAAGGGAAGGCACTGGGAGATGTTTTGCTCGACAGCATTATATTTATAAGTGGATTATACACATTGCAAATATCTAATTGGTTAAAAAATGGTTATGATATTAAGCTTTGTTTTATGAGAAATTCTTAATTTATTCTCTAAAACGTCATTAAAAGTCACCACTTTTTTTTGCAAATGGGCATTTTTTTAAGTCACCTACAGTTAAACAGTTGAGTTTTACCATTTTTTATCTATTCAGATCGAAAGGGAGCACTTTTAGCTTAGCTTAGCATAAATCATTAAATTGGATTAGACCATTAGCATCTCGCTTCAAAAAAATAAATAAATAAAAAATTTGTAGGTAAATATTTCTAGGAACTATACTCTCATTCTGGCATAATAATCAAGAGACTTTGCTGCCGTACCATGGCTGCAGCAGGCGGAATGATATTATGCAGTGCTGTTACCTAGTTATTTAGCTCGGGACTATTTTCAGGCACTGTGTAGTATCATTGTGTTTGCTTTAGATGAGATTGAAGTATAATTCCTCGCCATATCGACTTAGAATTAAGCTTTGAATAAAAAACCCATTTATCAATTATCAATTATCAAAACTCATCAAAATATTTTGTGCGAGATGCTAATGGTCTAATCCGATTCAATGATCTATGCTAAGCTAAGCTAAAAGTGTTCCCCCAGACCCAGAGATCGACTGAATGAATTTAAAAAAATGATATAGCCTTATCAACCTAGAATCAAGCATTAAATAGAAGAATTATCAAACCTATATCTTGAATTTAATGCTAAGCTAAGCTCAATGTGTACTCGGTAGACCCAGAGATCAACTGAATGAAAAGACTATAATTCCTAACCTTATATACATATAATCAGGCTTTAAATAGCAAAATTGTCGAAGCCTTGCTTCAAAATTTTTGAGCAAGGTGCTAATAGTCTAATTAGATTCAATGATCTATGCTAAGCTAAGCTAAAAGTGCTCCCGTTAAACCCAGAGATCTGAATGATTTAAAAAATGATGATAGTATAGTTCCTAGCCTTATCGAATCAAGCTTTAAATAGGAAAAACATCAAAACACTTTCTTGAATTTTTTGAGTAAGATGCTAATGGTCTAATTTAATTCAATGATTTATGCTAAGCTAAGCTAAAAATGCTCCTGCCAGACCCAGAGATCAGCTGAATGAATTCAAAAATGGTAAAACTCAGCTGTTTAACTCTAGATGACTTGTAAAATGAGCCTATTGCCAAAAATATATAGTGTTCCTTTAATATATCACATGCGTTTTATGCTTAAAAAATTAAATAGAGCAAATCTGAAAAACAGAAGGAAAGAAGAAAAGAAAATGTTTAATTTTTAAGCCTAAAACAAGAACAAATATGTATATATATATATATATATATATATATATATATATATATATATATATATATATATATATATATATATATATATGAATGTGAGAAAAACCAACTTAATTCTCATCACCAAGACAGCTACTCAGTCTTGTTTTAGTCATAAACTTATTTAAAATTAAAAAGCATAAGCAATTTTTTAAATCATAAGACTTGATATCCCTATAGCAATACCCACTATAATCAAACTTTTATTTTGCTTCTGATGAAAATGGATCTTGATTTAATCTTAAATTGCACCAAAAAATGA